ACTTTATATCAATACCAACTACAACACATGCCCCAACTTCTCTATCGAAAGCTTTTTCCTTGTCTGTAAATAAGACTGTGTAGGTCTTATGCAATTCTACTGCTCTTTCAATAAGCTGCCAACAATGTAAATATGGCATCTCCCATTGGGTCTTTGCATCTTCTGTTTCTTCTAAATCCCAACGAGGATTTGCAGCTTCTCTTTCTTCTAAATCCTAACGGGGCTTTGAGAGTTGTGATTCCAATAATGGTGTTGATCTTCTTTAGATAATTTGACACACATTTTCCCTGTGTGGCTTAGTAGTGATATCTCTCCAGAATTGTAGTGATATTTCTCCAGAATTGCAGTGATATATCTCCAGAATTGCAGTGATATCTCTCCAGAATTGTAGTGATATCTCTCCAGAATTGTAGTGATATCTCTCCAGAATTGTAGTGATATTTTTTCTATAATTACATAACCTACCAAGTGCCGATTGGTCTATAAAAAAATATAGCCCCATAATCCCCATACGCCTAAAGACGTTCAAAGGGAACTTTTTTTTCTCTATAATCAATTAAATATTTCTTTCTGATTTTTGTTTTGTTTTCTATAGTGGTGTGATTATTCCTGTTTGCCAATAATCTGGTGTTTTCTAATTTGAAAAGGTGACCTGGACAATAAGCCTGAGCCCTTGCATGGATCACTAAAATACGATCTTCAGGGCTTTTTTTTTCTCCAAGAAAAAAATGCATTCTACACCAGTGTCTGAAAACGAGAAAGATGCCTGTACACAACACAAAGTATCGATTAAAGTACCAATGATGAATGATCCATTAAAAGATACCGGTATTGCACGTTTCGACAGAAAAAGAAAGCTGTAAATATCTTAATGTCCTTAAATCGTCCATCTTATAACGATTTTATAGTTATCAATTGTGCAGACACATCGCATTCGTAATTATTCATCTCTTTCTATTTTTTTTTTTTTTTTTTTTGCAGTCTGTTCGATATTATTAATTGAATCCAGTCCAGAATCTTTGAACTTTTTAATTAGCGTTCGTTTAAGGGTTTCTTTTGGAAGTCTTTTTGTCCTCAGTCCATATGAGATCCTGGTTGGTGGTTCTGTGTCGGCTTCCCCTCTGGATGTGTCCAGTATATCGCCAGGATGCAGGCACACTTACAGTAGCATATCTTCTTGTTGTGTTAGGATTTATATTTGGTTGTGAATGAGTATGTTTGTAACCATAACGTATAAGATGTCACGTACATCGCGAAACATTTCCAGCCACCCAGTTCTGGCTGAGTACATACCTGTAACAGTATAAATGTGTTCACATTTCATCATCATCATCAAGTCCTTTGCAGAACGTCGCTCTCATCACAGTCTGCCTGAAAGAAACTCGGTCTCTCGCCAGTTCTCCCGCCTCATGCACTTTCACACTCAAGGAGTCACCTAAACCCTGTGCCCATCTTTGTGTCGGGCGGCCTCTGCCCCTCCTTCCTGGTACTATGCCTTCTGCTATAATTTTTTCCAATCCGTCGTGGCGCTTGATGTGACCAACAAATTTCAGCTTTAGAGAAAGGATGCTGTTTATTAGCCAATCTTCCTTGATGTTCAGATCTTTTAAGATATCAATATTTCTCATCTTCTTTGTCCAAGATATTCTGAGAATCTTTCTTTATCATTTCAGCTCAAAAGCTTTTATTCTCTTTCTTAAGGACTGGGATATAGTCACGACTCCCATCCGTATGTTGCCAAAGGGAAGATGCATGCTCTCAAAATTCTAATTTTTATCTCCTTGCTGGTGCTTAACCATAGACTTTTAAGGCTGTTCATCTTTGCATTGCTGTGGCCATCCTCCTTTTAACTTCTGTCGAAATGTCTCAATTGTTGTTTATTATAGAGCCATTATTGTCACCAAATTTGATTGTCTGGTGTACTATGTAGGTTGGAAACGTAGGGTAGGTAATCTTTTAAATTCCCAACATCAGGTGATGATGAATGCATGCTCACAAACCACCGTTTTCCCGAGGCTCCTATTCTTAGTGGTAAAAATGTAATAAGAAAGGTGAAGGTCCCTTTTTATGTAAGAGGCGTTTGGGGCATATGATGATACAATAATATTTTTTAAAATCTTTTTCTTCTTCTTCTTCTACTTGTTCACCGGTTGTGAATTCCGGCGGAAAGTCTGGGTTGTTCGTCCATTTGGATGTAATCAGTTCGGCACTCTGTGGGTGATTTGGTCAATATCACGCCGGCCACCTTTATTTCACAGGAACTGGTTCCTATTTAAGACAGGGTCGAACTGGCATTCAAGGTCAGCTTTAAAGAAAAAAAAATCCGTCTCTATGCTGATTCGACTCTTGAGACCTTCAGGCTTGTAGGCAAGCCTGTGATCACTACGCCACTTCGGCTTTTACTAGTAGTAGGAGGTTTTAATTTTATCCCGAAACGTGCCACACAATGAATTGGGATGTCAAGAGAGCACTTAACCCCTCTACATCTTTGGCTGGTCAAGTGTTCTTAACCTCCAATAATCAAGATACTGTTAATGCTAGCCATCAGTACATAACAACAGCTAGATCTTACATATGCTCACGGTGGGGGGGGGGGGGGGGGGGGGGGTCCTAAGTAAATACCACGTAGATGAACACAAATAACTCACATGAATATCTCAGTGAGCCCCACTGCAGCCTGAAGGCCAACCCTTTTGGTGTATATGGCACTTTACCTCCAGGTAACCAACCCTTGAAGGAATTCTCAATAGATGTCTTGTACTTCTCATCGCCTGTAGCTTTGTACATGAGAATCTGCGATGACAGTAAATTATTATTTTTCTTCTTCTCCTCCTCATCCTTCTTCTTGTTCTTGTTTTGCTTCTCGTTCTTCTTGTTCTTCTTCTTCTTCTTCTTTTTCTTCTCCTTTTTCTTCTTCTTCTTCGTCTTCTTTCTCTTCTTTTCTTCTTCTTCTTCTTCTTCTTCTTCTTCTTCTTCTTCTTCTTCTTCTTCTTCTTCTTCTTCTTCTTCTTCTCTTCTTCTTCTTCTTCTTCTTCTTCTTCTTCTTTTTCTTCTTTCTTTTCTTCTTCTTCTTCTTCTTCTTCTTCTTCTTCTTCTTCTTCTTCTTCTTTTTCTATTTCTTCTTCTTCTTCTTTTTCGTCGTCTTCTGCTGCTACTGCTGTGTTGTTTCTTCTTCTTTCAACCTCCTGCTCGTCTTTCCCCTTCTACTCTACTTTCTCTTCTTCAATTTCATCCTCCTCTTCTTTTTCTTCTTCTTTTTCTTCTTCTTCTTCTTCTTCTTCTTCTTTTCTTCTTCTTCTTCTTCTTCTTCTTCTTCTTCTTCTTCTTCTTCTTCTTCTTCTGCTTCTTCTTCTGCTTCTTCTTCTTCTTTATTTTCTTGGCTAGACGTTGCCTGCCGGTCTAGATGTCTCGAGTCTGAATCCACACCAAAGAGGAATTTTTGAAAATAATTGACATAAATGACCTAGACACAAATGGGGATTTAAAAAATATTATGGGAAGAAAAAAACGTGTGACTTGACCACATTATCCATAGCACTATATGTCATATGTACCAGCAGCGTTTAGGGGTCTTAAGCTTTCTTCCCGTACTTACATCTTCACTTCCTATTTTATATTTTAAGATGTCCAGAGATTAGTGAAAACTAATTTGCAAGCTGCGGAGATGTGGTTTTATAGACGAATTATGAGAATACCCTGGACAGATAAAAAGAGTAATGAGTATGTCTTGAAAGAAACTGACTCACGAAGAAAACTGATTGCCCGCATCAGAAAGACACAATATACTCGTACATTCTTTGGCCATGTGATAAGAAGAAGAAAACTGGAGTGCATCGTGACTGTTGGAAAGCTGGAAAGGAGAGGCAGACGGAGACCTAAAGAAAAGATGCGGTACAGTCCGACATCATGGCATGGAGGTTCATATGCGTCAGAGCTGACTGAAAGTACACGAGACAGAAGGTTGTGGATAGACATGACTACCAACGCCACACAGCATGGACATTGGGAAGAAGATGTCCAGAGAGTAATAATACGGTTTTCGTTCTCACCCTTGATAACTGTGCAGAGTTGTTTCTGGTGTTATTTTTCACTTTGTTCGATCTCTACCCTAGGCTAGGTGTTTTTAAATATTTATTGTAGAATATGGCATCTCAGGGCATACTCTCTAATGTGGCAATCCATTTTGTTGGTTAGGTTCACGTTAAACTCCACAAAAAGAGTTAGGTCACTTTTCATTCACAATTTTTTGGACTAGTCGACTTTCATGAAGGTTACGGGTGTGTCCGGTTCTGTTGTTTGCTTGCTATGATGTCTTGCATTTACTTTTTCCTTCTGAGAAAGAGAATGTCTGTGACATAGGTTGCAGCACTCTCTGGGGGATGGGGGGTTGTGTTAGGATCAGTTTGTCTATATTTTTTTCAGTGTTAAAACCCCTGGCGGGCTGAAATATATAACACGCGATATCAACGGCATCTCGGAACACCCCCGTAACCTTGTACCAAGGTGACAGGTTCAAGAACTGTCAATCTGAAGTAAATAGTGTGTAAATGAGCGGGGCGAGGGGAGACCAACGTTACTTTAACCCATTTTGCTTATTCTTTTGCATGCGATGTAATGAAAAGTAAGTAAAGTGTACAAACATGTCTATCAGAATATACATTATCCGCCAATGGAATTTAAAAAGCAAAAAAGGTCCTTTGCTTTTCCTGGAAAGAAACCTAAGAAGTGGATGTGATCACTTCTGTGTCTTTTGCTACGATCAAAGTAGGCTCTGCTGCACTGGTCTGGCCAGATGAACCGGGATCGGTCACAAACCAAGTCACGGGTCAAACCCAGTCGACAAGAGCCATCTCAAAACAACTCATGCCCGGGTAGTTTCCCCGTACTGCCTATATTACTGACGTAAAATTTTTCAGGTAATTAGGCGACCAAGCTGGTCATTTGGGAGACCACTAAAAAGTTGATGGTCAGGAAGCTCACGTTCCCCCCCCCACCCCCCCCCCACCCTTCCCCCTCCCCCACCCCAAGTGCTGAAGCACGTAATGGTAGAACAGACAGACGAGTTTTGATTTTTTAGTTTTCACAAATAAATAAAATCTGATCTGTTTGATATTTGGAATAACTAACGAGTAAAATGTTTAGTGTATCCGTATACCACGAGTCTTATTCTTCAATTATCCCAGTTACGTGTAGGGAGCAAAAAAGGGTCGTGTGTGTTCTATCTTCTTATGCAGTTGGCACGTTGTGTTGTGTTTTACAGCTAGACTGCATTACCTGCGCCTCTTGGCGCAAACTCTTAATTAGTCGTCTTTTACAACATGCTTCTTTTGAAATAGTGTGTCTCTTCCCCAGCCCTCACCCAACCTCCCCCATCCCACAAATGATGCCCGTGAACCCACACTTTTTGCTAGAGTGCTGTGTAAATTAGGTTTTCATTTCGAGCACACACAAACACACTTATACACATTTCTTCTTCCAAGCCATGTGGCGTTGGTGGTTATGTCTACATTCTGTCTCGTGTACGTTTACTCAACGGACCATCCTCCATGCCTTGATGTCAAACTGTCCCGCATCTTTTCTCTCGTTCTCCCTCCGACCCGCTTTTCCTTATCCTTTCTACTGTTGCGATGGACTCCGTTTTTCGCCTTCTCATCCTATGACCAAAGAATGTAGATTTTCTCTTTCTTATGTGGGCAATCAGTTCTCTTAGTGCGTCATTTTCCTTCAAGACATCCTCATTACTCTTTTTATTATCTGCCCAGGGTATTCTCATCGTTCGTCTATAAAACTTTATTTATATATATATATTACTATTATTACACCTCTCGTATACCAACCACTAACCTAAGAATTAACCCAACACACAATTTTCAGTACACTTTAACTCTTTCTAAACCAGCAGTGCCCTATGTGTGACTTGACAGTATCATTGTAATTTTAACCAACATGCTCTACACATTTTTAACTCTTACGTTAAGTCAGTGTCGCCAAAGAACTGAGAACGTGTTTATTTCTTAGGAAGGGTTGTGTATTTCGCCTTTGCGGAGTTAGTAGATCTATACGGTAGATGTTGCAATACTGCCCTCCCACCACCCCCTCCCCCTCCCCTCCTTTCGGACATCAACTATAATCTTGGATGACTGAAAGAGTTGAACATCAAGTAAATTCAAATTCAAGTGGGTAATGATACAAGTGGGAGGACGACATCAAGAGATGGACGGGCATCAGTCTGCGAGAGAGTACAACCAGGACCAGAGACGGTGTGTTGCAGATCCATTACAGCCAACATTCACTGTGGAGACGGCACCTACTTGATTGAAACTGAAACTATTATTTTCACTTAAATGCTGCATTTGATGCCTTTGATGCATGTAAACTGCAGACGGGCTCTGGCACTTACCTGATTACCAATTGTCTTTTCATCCCAAGACTGGCCCCATGCAGGATCGGGGTCAAACCACTTTTCTGCCACCTCCAAATATTTGCTGTCTTTGGTAACTTTGTGTAACCAAAGGGAGCCCCAGCCTAGTTCATCGGTGAAATTGGCTGAGCTGCAAACGGATTCGTAAGGATTTTATGCAATATAAGAACATGCACTATGAGAGACTATGTAATGCACGAAAAAACTATTAAACTTCTATCGAAATATATTAGTTGAAACTATTATAATTAATAAATGATTTATTTGGAAGAGCATCTCAATACATACATATATTTTAATGAGCTCTCTTAAACTCTTTCTGGCCCAAAATAGCAACTGTGGTAGTTTAGGTCCTTGTCTATCAAGTAAATCAATGTGTGCTATTATTTTTTTTAAATTTGATCTGAGCAAACCAAAGAAGTCTAGTTGGATATTTTAATATGCAACACAGAGTAAATTGCCTCTTTGAAATTGTATACGCATTTGCTTTTATTTCCTTCTTGGTAATGTCCCAGGAGGCATTGCCTACCAATCTTCTGCGACAAAAATAGATATTTATAAATAAATATCATTATGTCGGAAAAGCAGGGGGGGGGGGGGGGGGGGGGGTATATGACGAAATAATACGAGGGACTCCAAAGTCTTCTCGAAATATTGACAGACATTGGAGGAATATTTGAAACTAAATTTGAATATCGGTTGGAAATGTTCCCTTAGCCTGAAATGAACATTGAGCTGGTAAGAGCTCCAGATTGTAGAGTATAAAATAAATGTGTGCAATACATTGTAACGGTTTACACGTACTGCTTGTTTATGGGAAATTTTTTTTTTTAAGATGAATAAGGAGACAGACCACTTTTAGAAACGTGTCTAATACAGCAGTATCAATTTCTATTTACTGCCCCAAATACTATATTTAAAGCCAAAACTTGAAGCCAACAGAAACACCGATGCAAGCTAAACTTTATTGGTGGCTGGTGTGTCACCAGAGCCCTCACGGGAAGCAAAGATTAGAGACACTGCACCTTACCAAGCTTGTCTTGAGAGGCGACTAAGGGTAAGGCTAAGCTTGAGGTTGGCTACTTCATTCTGGAAAAACAATATTCATAAACACCAGCCAGCCATGGAAAGGTCAAAAAAGAAAAACAAGTAAAACATTGCCAACCAAGAAAGGGGGGGGAAGATGATTTTCGAAGAGAAAAGAAGTTAAGATGGGGAGAACATGGGAAGAGCTGCATGCGATAGCGAAAGATAGAACAACTTGGCGCGAGTTAGTTGAGGATCTATGCTCTTCTGAGAGATAGAAAGGCAGAAGAAGAAGAAGAGTGAATTATGAATGTGAAGTTAATACCAGAGACAACATTGCAGGTATAGATCATCTATTTCAAGCGAATGAAAAAGAAGAAGCAACAGAAATTTATGTATCTTTTCATACACAGGCGGTGTGTGCCGCTATAATGTATGAAACTATGGGGGTGACTGCAGTCAAGCTAATACAATGAATTCCAGAGAAATTGGACAACCTAATACAATGAATTCCAGAGAAATTTCTCTGGAATTTACTATAATGTATGCACTCGAGATACATATAGAGGCCTCCGTGGCGATATGTTCAATCTGTTTGCCTCGCGCTTCAAAGGTCACGGGTTCAGTTCACGAGTGCAGTTGTTACGAATATCCCTAGGAGTCGCACCCAGAGCTACAGAGTTCGTGTTCTGTGCGACGCTATCGGCAAGCGGCTAGCCGTTCTGCGGAGAGAAACAGAGCCGTGTGGACTAAAACGCGATGCAATGAAGTCGATCCTGTCGACTTTAACTTTTATCTTTAACTTTTCAAAAGTAAATTAAAATATTTGCATTGAAGCTTTATTCGTACATCATAATCATTATCATGTGCGATGCCAATAGTGTAGGCTGTCCTGTATCGCCATCCCACACGATCACCAGAATCTCGGATTATATCAGTGTTCTTGTCTCGCCCCATCCATTGACAAGACTATTCAGCTATTTATCTATTTGTCTTTACCTCGCGCTCTTCCCATCAGTCTGACCAGTCCTTACCAAAATCTAGAGTCCACTCCTTCTCATAACACCAGCTGTTTAGGCCTAATTTATTCAACAGAATGGGGCGGCGTGGTCTCGAAGCATGTTGTCCGCCTCGAGTGCTAGAGGTTCCGGGTTCAATCCCAGGTAAGGGCTGGGATTTTATCCCTTGCACATGGACTTCTAGTAATTTTCCCCTGGTCTCTGGGTAGTGAGATCGGACGCCCGTGTGTATTGTTACACACGTTAAATAAATCCCTTGTCAGCTGGAAATCGAAAAAAAAGTAGCCTAATGCGCTGTCCGGGCAAAATTTGGAGGTAAAAATTTATCTAAAGTTTCAGGATCCTCGCCAGCGATACAGAGCCTGTGCGCTGTGCTGAGCTATTTTAGGACTCAAATTTGAGATAAAAGAAAAACGGAGTACTTATGGGTTACTACCCGTTTGCCATGATGTTGTTCAAAAACCTCAATTTCTCTATTCAACAGAATACAGATTTCATGTATCTCGAGGAGGTTTGACTTGTTTGTATTTCTATTATTCCATTATATTATCTGTAGTCTTATGGATTTGCGAAACATTATTTGGAAACGGTGGAGATGTGGTTCTATAAGACAAATGATGAGAATACCTTCGACTGATAAAATGAGCCGCCCGGCTCTCTAGACTATTTGGCTAAACCGGATTGTGCGGTGACCTGGTGACGAACTCCTAGCGGTCCGGCTTCACTACCGGGGGTAGGCAGAAAAGCCACATTTCTCCCAGATTTACGATATTTACAATGGAATCAAAGCCTAAAGGTTGCGATTTCCATAATACCGAGCCTAAGGGTTAACAACTCATGGCTTCTGGATACTAAAACAAACAAACAAACATAAAATGAGCCAAAAAGATGAAAGAAAGACTCAAAAAAAAAAGAGGCAATCTACATACTGTGGTTATGCCACGAGAAGCAGAAAACTGGAGTATATCGTGACCGTGGGAAGATTGGAGGGGAAACAGGGGAAGAGGGAAACCGATAGAGAAGATGCTTGACAGTTTGATACCATGGCAAGGCAGATCAACTGTGCTGGAATTGACTGAAAGTATGTGAAACAGAATGTTGAGGATAACACGGGTCTACCAACACCGCACAACATGGACTATAAGAAGAAATATGGCCAAGAATGGTCTTGCTTTGCCAACCTGCAAATCTTTAGATAAAAGGGCGGTAATGGGGTGCTCCATAGGTGCAGACTAGTCTGTTAGGACTAGTCGTCTGCAGATGTGTACAAAAACACTGAGTATTCTAAACATATGAAAGTGAAAATGTTAGGACCACGAGCACATGCATGACAACGTCAAGCAAAAATGACATGACTCAAGTTAAACATCCTGTTGTGGGACAGACAGGCGGAAAGGGCGAGGATTAATAGTAAAAGTAAAGTTAGAAGAATATGCGTATAAATATCATTATGTCGGAAAAGCGGGGGGGGGGGGGGGGGCAATGACGAAATAATACGAGGGACTCCAAAGTCTTCTCGAAATATTGACAGACTTTAGGCGCATCAAGCATATGGGAAGAGCACCCATATTTTTTCATACCAATCGGCACTAGGTGGGTAATGTGGTCAACATTACGCCGGCCGTCTTTACTTTTCCTGGACATACATCCTGGTACCCATTTTAGGCTGGGACAACCTGCCCCGCCCCATACCATGGTAAAAATCCACGCAGCCAGCAGTGGGTTTCTATCGCGGTACATTTACGAGTCGGGCTTGCGACGCCTGAGCCACGGACGCCGCCAAGGATTAATAGTATCTGACAAATATACAAATTCATGTATTACTCAACATGTTAAATGTATCGTCACCTGTAGAATGATGCAGCTGCAGACACAGAGTCGCTGTATTTCCCGTGGTATTTGTTTCCGAATTCCCAGAGCTCTTTGGCGTGATCAAGAAGTGTAGCAGCATAGGCTGGGTCTGAATGTGAAAAATAGTTGATATTTTCAAACAAAGGCGACAAGCTGGGTGTAATTGTCATTCGTGATGCCACGTATGTATGTATGTATGTATGTACGATTCTTCTTCCTCTTCTTCTTCTTCTTCTTCTTCTTCTTCTTCTTCTTCTTCTTCTTCTTCTTCTTCTTCTTCTTCTTCTTCTTCTTCTTCTTCTTCTTCTTCTTCTTCTTCTTCTTCTTCTTCTTCTTCTTCTTCTTCCTCTTCTTCTTCTTCTTCTTCCTCTTCCTTCTCTTCTTCTTTCTCTTCTTCTTCTCCTCCTACTTCTTGTTCTGCTTCTTTCAAAATAAGCCACGAATATTGTGTTTCCGTTTTGATTATGATTCATCGTAGTTATTGAAAACGTTATGTTGACAGTGGGTGAGTTTCAAGCGGAAAGGAATTTAAAAAAATACTATTGATTCAACATTGACAGCAGAACATAAGCAGAACCTTCAAAATGTGCCTGCAATTTAAATATCTTCTTATTCTTCTTTTTATCCTTCTTATGATTATTAATAATAATATTATTATTCACTTTTATTGGCTGTAAACTCTGATGGAAAGTTCTGGTTGTTCTTCCATTCTTGGACTCTTGTCCTGTCCAGAACCTGATTTGAACATACACATCCATTTGCAACCCTGACTCTTGTTTTTGCAGACTACTGGTTCCTTCGAAGGCAACTCCAATAAGTCGACTTTTACGACTTGCTTTGGGTAGGCAGTGGGTCTCTTCTTGTTTACCCTACAGTGGCGGTCCCGGAACCCACAGAGGGACAATGTAAATATTACTACCTGAATCTTTGAAAACTAAGTGACCAGCCGCCATAGCGGCGGCAGTTTCCATAGCAATATCGGAGCCTGGTTTTGCAGCCGTTATCTTGTAACCAGGTCGAGCCATGGTCATCTTCTCAGGTGCTCCCCAGTAACCGTGGTCAAGTCCCGCATCGCCCACCTGCAGATGTAAACATACCTAATGTAAATTTTTTTTTTTTTTTTTTAAGATACGAACGAATGAGCAATAAACGTTATTTTCAAAGGGGCACGCAGGCCCGTCTAACATTCTGCCCTTCCAGTCCCATTTTTTTTTTAAATATCCAGAAACCATGAGTTCTTAACCCTTTGTCTCGGTAATATGGATATCGCAACCCTTTGGCCTTGATTGCATGATAAATACCGTAAATCTGGGAGAAATGTGGCTTTTCTGCCTACCCTAGGACGTGAACCTGGACCACAAGGAGTTCGTCACCCGGTCGTCGCAAAGTCAGGTTTAGCCAACTACGCTAGCGAGCCGGGCCTTCTAGTCCAATACTTCCATAGCTTGCATAGAGTTATTCATTCGTACATCATTTCATATGCAATAACAATAACAAATGTTCACAACATCTAAGTCTTAATTACACACGCTGGAGTGTGCTCTACTTATACTTACATCACTGAACATTTCAAAAAGTATAGTAATAAACCTAAGATAACAAAGATTAGAGATTCAACTTCGTTGCACTTGATTTCATCCCATATCTTTTTAATAAAACGTCTGACCGCCTGCCAGAGTCGTTTACACTTTTCGAGCGAACGAAGCAGCCAGAGGGGAAAAAATCAAGATCTTCACAGAGTTAGTCCAGCAACCTGACCATTCATCAAGGAAAGCAACATACAATTTTACAAACATTGGACTTCAATGACACTCAGTTTTCCAGAAGATTCACAGCAAACCAGGCAACCGACCAGTTGATGTTTGCAGTTCACAGGCCCTAATTATTTAATTAGATTACACAATAATCAATCACCTTTTTCAAAGATCTGTACATAGAAAGAAACTAGCTCTTAAACACGTTGAAGTCTCGGAAACTAAAATACTTGGGCATTCGTCCTTTTTAGGACGACAATTTTTGTTATTTGAAGCCCTACTCTGGCTTTTGCCAGGGGCCGCAATATAGGCAGGCCATACATATGGCCAGATGTCTGAACGCGGTTTCTGGGACCTCTCCACGGCGATCCTCATCCGCATGGTGGCACTTTGTGTCATCGGGTGTTTGTCGCTTGTGTGATGTCCTGGTGGGGTAGAAAGTCAGTCAGTCATACTTGGGCAATTTTACATTACACAGTAAAGTAAAAGTTGAGGTCCCTTTAGGCGTATAGGGCTAGATCTACATTTTTAAAGATCAATTTGTACAAGATGGATGATGTGGTCAGCATCACCCCGGCCGCCTTTACTTCCTAGGACTGCACTCAAGGCTGGGTCGACCCGGGAGTCAAGGTCATTTTTGACAAAAGCAGCCTGTAATGAAAGACATAATTCCTGGAAGAAACAACAGTTCTGGCTTATTTTTTCGCCTCTCAGACAGATGTCGATGTCTGTGGCTTAGGCGTTGTGAACTCGCTTCGTAATGCTGGGGTGCAGGGTTCAATCCCAGCTGAAGGCCCTGCGTCTTGCGTTTGTTTCGACAGTGATATTGAGAAGCCGACCGTCCAGGAAACAGTGGCAAACTACTGGAGGTAAATTTGCCTGGAAAATCACAGCAGTCAAAAAATGCTGGGGCTGGTTCTGCAATGTCCTGTAAAGGATACACAACTAACTCACTCACTCAGACACACAGGCTTCGACTTCGAAGGAAACACCCCTAGTTAGTCGACTTTTACCACATTCTCGTTAAGGTGGGAGTAGGTCTATGTTTACCTGAACATACAGTTCCTCAGGACCAGTGTGACATTTCAAAAGGTAGTCCAAGGACCATTTGATACTGTCCAAGAAGTAGGCCGTTTGTCCGGCGGCCTTGTAAGCATCTGCATATTCCAGGTAGCCCCAGGCCAACGCTGTGGTACTGTAGGCCATGGGGTAGTTGAATTTCACGTGGTCCCCAGCTAAAAATGAGAAATAAAATTCGTTATTTTGCAATATTAACCATTTGTCAAATTGACCTTTTTGCTCGCCTTCCAGCGTATCGGGCATATAGAGACAGGCCGATATTTTATAGACTGATCGGTGCTTGTTGAGTGACGTGACAACATTACACCGCCCGCCTTTTAAAAACTGTTAACAGGAAATGTTCAGGAAAGTTAAAAACAGTCCGTGTAATATTTATTAGCACTCAGCCAGTACTCAAGAACCTCAGAGAGTAAATAATGTTTGTGTTTTTTTTTTTTTTTATTCTCTTGTCTCTATACGTGTATCTTGTCTCTATGCAGGTTTTCTTGTCTCTGTGCGTGTTTTCTTGTCTCTATGCAGGTTTTCTTGTCTCTGTGCGTGTTTTATTGTCTCTGTGCGTGTTTTATTGTCTCTGTGCGTGTTTTCCGTGTTTTTTTTTTTTCATTTTTGGTGTCTTTATGCGTGTTTTCTTGTCCCTATGCGTGTTTTCTTGTCCCTATGCGTGTTTGTTTGGCTTACAGACGTTGTATACGCCTTTATTCTAGGACGTTTGGATGGGGTCTGTTTACATGACGGTTGTTTCCTGTGAGTCTGCAACCAAGATATGACTGCTTGAACATAATTTTTAAATGATGAAATCAGACAAGAGCACATTGCAGGAAGCTAAAGAAGAATAAGAAACCCATACAGAGCTGGTGTCGTCAGCCGCTACACGCTAAGGGATTTACTGAGATGTTTGAAGCACATGAAGGCTAATTAGTCCCACATGCAATGAGGATGATCTCTCGACTAACTATGAAGTCAAAGCAATGCCAACCGCAAACTATTGCGATTCATAGAAACAAGGACTATAAAATGGTTTTGTCCAGAATTATGCACACACACAAAATTGCAGTTGCCATAATAAAAGGGGCAGTTACTTGTGAATGTAGTCAATTTTATGTATGAGGTAAAAGGATTCACATATTTGCTTCATTTTAATCAGTTGCTACTATAGTATGCACCTGACAAGATACAGCTGAATATGCCAGCCAATAATTGGTGCAATCTATTGTTAGTGTCTTCTTTGTTCACACGTGACTATTAAATACTTTACACTTTATACTTATATACTTTATACTTATACTTTATATCTTTTCCTATATTAAATACTTAAACTTGTGGAAGAAAACACTGACATCGACATATGGCCTTAGAAAGAGTGCTAGTATTCACCACAAAGTGTGTGTTATAGTAGTTCAAAAACATAATGACCTAAAAAGGTGCCGGTACAGCGTGCTGTCACATAGAGCCATAAGGAAAATTCTACATGAGCCATATGATATCAAGTCTGTATGATTTGTTCTGAATCCTGATCTTCTTCTTCAGCTTCTTCTTCGTATGTCCTTATCCCCCAATAAAGCAAGGCCTACAATCAGCTCACGAAAGGTCGTCCTATACATCACCACTGTGTGCAGCTCACCAAATGTAAATTGATTCCTTTTCGGCTTTATCTGCCCTGCTTCATCAAACTTCTATAAGAAGAGTCACCCGACATCTCGTTTCTCTCTCAATTTTTTTTTTTTTTTTGTCCATGTTTTTTTTTTCAACTGGTTGAGGTAGCCAACCCCAAGCCCAACCCTACCTTAGTTGCCTCTTACGACATGTCTGGTAGGGTACTGCAGTGTTGATATTCTTGGCTTCCCATGAGGGCCCTGGTAAATCCTGATTTGGTTACATTAATTTGCATCTCCCTAATTACAAGATACAGTACCAGTCTTATACACGCTGCTGTCGTATGTGTTAACCGCGGAAAAAAAGAGAGCTCTGCAGCATAGTCACGTGAATATGGTAGTTGTGTGGGTGCCAGAAAAAAAAAGGATTTACCCTAACATCTCTCTGATAGATACCATCCTATTTTAGGACTCAAGACAAACTGCACATCTAACTTTGAAGAAGGTTTCTCATTTGTCGACTCTTACGACATGCTTGTTAGGAAGGCAGTGAGACTGTTCTTTCTTTCCCCACAATGGGGCCCCGGAACCTACACGGGGAGTTGGTCTTCTTATATTCGGCCCTTTCAAGCATTCGTCTTTTAAACGACATTTGTATTTTATATACAAGCATATTATGTTCACTTATCAGAATTCGTAGAATGAACGTTATGTTAAATAGACACACAGACACACACAAGCACACACACACACACACACACACACAAGCACACAAACACACACACGCACACACACACGTATAAACGCAACAGAAGCCCATATCATAGTACTGCTAAGACGGCTCTGCCGTTATATTATGGCTGCAATATCAGTGTGAGGAATGGAAGGTCGTGGGATTAGGTCCTGACTTAGCCGGACCTTTGCTTTCAAGTCGACCAGTCTTGAGTGGGTACCAGGGGAAATCATGGGAAGTAAAGGCGGACAATATGATGCTGACTATGTACCGATTGGTCTATACGACATCATGCCACCCAAAGTTACATCATGCCCATGCTACCAAAAGTGAGTAGTAGCATTCTGATTCTTTGACTTGTGTATTTCATATTTTCATTCGGAGTGTTAAATAAAATCAATTGTGTCGTGTTTTAATCAATGCAATTTTGGAGAGATTTGACACTGTTCACTGTATCATAAATAACATTGCCTCCTTAGTGGCGCTTCAATCTAACAATTATTGTCTTTGTGATTAACTTGTGTTTTAATTTCGGAACTTGCTGACTTTTCCAAACGCTTTGTGAGTATTAACACTGTTTTCAAAAAACCTTTCATCATCATGGCTTATATTTAAAAAATAAAACGTGCAACGGCTAGGTTCTCTCACATGGATCTGTTCAAGCCAGATACTTTTGTTATCATATTACATGGTCCAGAATCTTATAAGAAAGCTAACCAAGACTACCTAATGTCAGCATTGATGGGCCCAGGTAGGGTTGATGCAGGTAGCATCAGAGATCTGTACCGACATCAAACTCCCCTAAGATTTTACCTGGACCTAAATGAAAACTGTCCTCAGGCAATTAAAAACAACCTCCACGGGAAGACATTGTCGGCGCCCGGGGATGCAACAACTATTCAAGTCTTCCTTCTGAGAGAAGAGAAGACTACTCTCGACCTTAACTGGGTCCCAACCACATTAACCAAAGAGGGAGTCATTGATCTCGTACGAGAGATAACTGGTGATGCCAACCCTGAAGTGAACCTAACCTCATGAATAGGGAAGAGATGGAGAGTACGCTGCACCCCCAAGCACAAAGACATTCCCCATTTTGTCCAAGTAGAGACACCGGGTATCAGGAGCTTCACAGTCCAGATCTTAATGCAAGGCAGACCAGCGCCATGCCCGATATGCCAACAAGAAGGGCATTGGGTGGGTACCTGCCCGGAGATTAGGCCGAGAGCAGGCCCACCGTGGATGGCTGGCAACCATGATCGTGCCAGTACCAGTGCCAATGCCGGCCTCTCATTCCGGGGAGCAACTAACCCAGAATGTACCCCAACCAAAAGATCTGAGAATAACCAGTGTGATGATGGGGGATTTCTCATGACTGTCGGGAGAGGCAGACATGTCAAAAGCCCTAGCCATTTGGCAACAACTACCATCGACAACGAAACCAACATCCGCATTGAGAACCGTTTTAAATTGCTGGATCAAGGTCCACTGCCCATTTCCAACAACGAACCAACGCCAACCAAGGCAAAATCGCTAAAGCCCAAGGCTAAGAAACGACCTGTCGATGTTCTTCAGGCCCATGAAGAGGACCCCCTCTACGAGAAATCGCCGAAGATCATCCAGTCCAAGACGCGGGAACGACCCGGTGACAAGCTGCCTGAGCCAACCCTGGCACAGGAGACTATCGACACACCCAACCAAACAGAAGCGGAGAAGACCAAAGAAGACGACACAATGGATAACAACCAGTCTATTGTCCAATCGGAAGACACCCTTCAGCCATCAGGCCACATTTCAGACAACCAGACCCAGCCTACCACAGACAGTGACGCTGATGAGGCCGTGTCTGATGACTTCAGCAAACTATCTGACTCTTTCTCTGACACCATCACTACCGAGTCACAGTCCTCATCCCCGGAGAAGCTCCCTTCTCCTGGTGTGGAAGAAGCAAACTAGCCGACATGTTTCAAAGAACATTCCACTACAAGAACTGATACTGTTTAAAAAAAAAATTGACAATTAACTCAATGTAATTCATGTCAACTGTCATAATTTTCATACTGCTGGACTGTTTTTTCCTATGATATTTATCTTGAAAAATGGAGAGCAGTCTGAAAATTATTAGTTTAAACATCAGAGGACTACGATCCAAACTCCAACACATAATACACATAATACACAAGTACACACCAGATTTTATATTACTACAAGAAATAAACATAAATTCGAATTGGTTGGCAAACAGAATCACGTCGCAGTTAGGTCTTACACACTCTGTCTTAAATCTCTCAAAACAATACATAGGATCAGGAACAGCCATACTCCAGACATCAGACAGATGGAAAATTACAGATACACATACAGATGACACAGGACACCTGTGCATCTTAAAAATTACCAACACTAGCTTATACTACACTCTAGTAAATATACACGCACGTCCTTCATATGACTGCCAACCAAAATGTTATGACAAATTAAATGACACAATTACACAAAACTATCATAACACAAATTTAATACTGGCAGGGGATTTTAATTGTGTCCTGACTAGCCTAGATGTTAAGGGGAGAGAAGTTAGGACACAGTTAAAACGTTAAGGGGGAGAGAAGTTAGGGCACAGTTAAAACGTTAAGGGGGAGAGAAGTTAGGACACAGTTAAAACGTTAAGGGGGAGAGAAGTTAGGACACAGTTAAAACGAACTGTCAAACACTTACCAAACCAATTAGACATCCTAAAAAACATAATAATGATAAATAATTTACAAGACTCTTTCAGGACCAAATTTCCAAACAGTACAGACACAACACACACGAATGCAGTATGGGACAG